GGATTCCTGGTCGAATCTGATTTGGAACTTCCCTTTGCTCGTCTCCAGGCATTTGACACGCTCCTCACATCTCCAAACCGAAGGTAAAAAGGACAGAAGAGCTTTGACACGATGCGATTGTGCCGGGTTAAGCACACGGCCAACCAACGTTCTCTCGAACTGCTTGATGATTTCGGAATCGTCAAAAGCCGGCATCTTAATGGAATGGGTGAAAGTCGCTTTCGCCCGTCTCTTGGAGCCACCATCTTACCGAAGAAAGCCATTGCGAGAGATGTAGAGGGTGAGAGATCAAGGATGCGCTGTTGCTAGTTTAGAAAACCACACTTGGACTCTCTGTGGAAAGGAAAGGAAGTGCCCAAGATCTCCTTTTGTACATGATTGGAATGAATCATTTGTCCTGTGATTACTCCTCCAATCAATCTCGCTTGATTGCAAGCGCTGTGATTCCCCAAGTGCCAATTATGGAAATCCAAGAACCAGATCCCGTAAGGTTGGTTCGTAATCTCGGAGAAACAGTATCTCCAATGATCATTAATCCCTGTAATTTCGCATCCATAGAGCAAGAAACCATGGAAGTCGAATCATGGCTAGTTGGGATATTCTCGATGGCCTCGAGGCGAGTCCTCCGAGACACTGATGCAGGGGTCCATTGGAGAGCAGCAACCATGGTGAACCCGTAAGCCTGACAAATCTCGTTCCATCCTGTATAAACCATCCAAAGACCGAGCAGAAATCCATAGAGGGGTGCTTGGATCTGACAAGAAGAAACTTGCTGGTGGCCGGCGACGGAGAGCTGCCGGGACCAAGAAGAAACGACGAGAGTAACGTCCATTTTTTAAAATGGATGACCGTTACAAGAGCTCATCGAGAGAGAATTCTCTCCTTTCTTCTCCAAAAACACATTTTTTTGTATTTTTATATATTTTTGTAAAAACCTGAAAATTCATAACTAGAAAAATATATGAGTAATAAAGCTTTAAAAATTAAAACCATAATTAAAAACCTAAATTAAAGACTAATAAAATTAAATAAAACCAAATATTATTTTAAGT